TGGCCTCCACCCTGGTAGCGATGGCCTCCACCCTAGTAGCGATGGCCTCCCCAACACCCTTTTGTTTAGTTTCTCCAATTTCTTGGTGTTTCCAAGGGCCGAAGTCTCCTCTTCTGCGGCTTCCCCGGTCTCGGCATCCGATTGTCTGGAGTGTTTGGTTTGTGCCGCCTCCGGTTCCACCTGAAGAAAACTGAATGCCATATATTATATAGATCATGTATAGTATTTTATAGTGTTTTGTTTTGTTTGTAAATAATATCAGGCACCTTTTGCTCCGCGAACTCGGATCGCCAGGGAAAAATAGACGGGACCTCAAAGTTCTTTTGATGGACAAAGCACGGAACAGGTTTCGGCTTGGGCTCCCGTGCATCGGCTGACGCTGTCAAAAGCCGAAAAAGGGCTGGCAATTGGAGAAGCAACCTCGTTAAGTGTCCCTAAAAATCTAGGAACCAAATGAATAGCGCGAACGCTTATTGAAGAAGCGTGAACTATCCTGCATCCAGTACGTAACAGCTACTTTGTCCTGTACTAACTATCTATCTTGCTACTAGCTACCTAGCTACTGCCTACCCCCCGGCTAAAAAACATAAACGACGGATGGCCTGGGAACAAGAATAGAAAGGTTATTCAGAAGTAGAAGATGTGTACAGTCACATCTGGGTTTTACAGCATCGCTTTTATGCAGCAAGATGCTACAAGTATACGTGAAAACGCACGTTTCTAGAGTTGCTGCTATGGATGTGGGTAAGATGAGACTCGTGGACACCGCCAATCATCCGGCTCCCCGGCAACAAGCCGAGTTCACGCCAGCTTGCTTTCAACCCCCAATGGCACGGCCTCACGCAAACGCAGTTTCCACCATGCCGCGCAAAACCGCATGGCAGAGCGACATCACCGACGGAATTTGGCCACACCGTATGGCCACGCAGTGTGCAACAAACTAGATACAACAGGTTTAATGTAACGTTAGTGGTGGGTGCCGCCAAGTTGCCAATTCTTAAGCCATACTGCTTCCCGCTCTTAGAAGCTGCTTCCTGCACTACAATTTGTACGTCCAAGTGGCCTTCTTGGCCAGAGCTTCCCGCCCAATATTTGCACTACCAAGTTCGCATTTCGATGACAATTACACACTTTGGCAACCTCCGCCTTTGTTTTTGGCGACAGTTACGCCCTTTGGCAAATTAATGTACCATCGTTTTCGACGACAGTTAAGCACTTGAGCAACCTCCACCTCCGTTTGCGACGACGTTACACATTACCAACTTCCAGCTTCCGGCGCCATTTGCGACGACAGTTCCACACTTTGGAAACTGCTGCCGTCAGTTTCGACGACAGTTGGCCAAAACAGAATTCGCAGTCCCCCACGCGTTTGAGCGCTCGATGTGCGCGACCTGCGCAGAGGCTCACGTTTCTGTCCGGCCAGGCCCCCACCTAGGAAAGAGATAAGTAGCTGAAATATATCGCCCGCGCACGAACAAAGATATGTTTTACTCTGTGTTAAAGCATATGCTTATTTTCGCATATGTGCCTACTGAAGCACAAGACCCCAGCGAAGTTATACTTGTTCTCCAGATAGCGAAGCTATGGGTCACTGCTACAAGCGGCAGGTTGTCACCCTTCACTGTCAGAAGCGGCGGTCGTTTTCACTTCACTGTCAGAAGCGGGCACCAGTACCGAGCACCGGCACGCCAGCTCACGGCGCCCAGCACCAGCACCCAGCACCGGTACCCAGCACCAGCGCCCGGCACCCTGTCTCCACCACGTGCACAGCCGGCGCCCAGTCTCCACCACGCGCACTGCCAGATCACAGCGCCCAGTACCAGCAGCGCCAGCACCTGCTGTCTCCACCACGCGCACTACCAGCACCCTGTCTCCACCACGCGCACAGCCAGCTCACAGCGCCACCAAGTGCACAGCCAGCTCACAGCAACAGCACCAGCACCTGGCACCCAGCACCAGCAACCTGTCTCCACCACGTGCGCAGCCAGTCAGCTCACAGCACCAGCGCCAGCACCGGCGCCCGGCACCCGGCACCCAGCACCAGCAACCTGTCCCCACCATGTGCACATCTCACGGCACCAGCGCCAAAACCGGCGCCTAGCACCAGCGCCAGCACCAGTAACCTGTCTCCACCGCGTGCGCAGCCAGCTCACAGCACCAGCACCAGCGCCGGCACCCGGCATCTAGCAGCGGCACCAGCAACACCACGTGCACAGTGCACAGCCACCTCACAGGTCCAGCACCAGCGCCAGCACCCGGCACCCAGCACCAGCAGGGCCACCAACAGCCGAAGCGCCAGCAGTCATGGGCCGCATGAACTTGCGCACGCAACATCATACGGTGTGTCGCATTAGCGCTGTGGGGTATTTACACTCTTCAGGTTCTGTTTTGGCCGACAGCTGTGTCAACCGCTGTACTGCTTGCGCGCGTACTTTTGACCGACCATTGTTTCAGCGTGCTTCAGCATGCTACACACACAGTAGTCGTGCTGGATACTGCTTGGCCATGGGCGAGTGAAGCCTACGGGCTTTGCCGTTTGTGCGCATACTTTTTGCGCGCATAAACTTATACGCGCAAGATCATACGTTGTTATTCCCCAAGTAGGGATAGCTATGGTGTTCTTACTGCAAATACGAATGAGCTGGGCGCGCTTTCGAAAGGGTGTCGGAGCTGGTGCTGGTGTTGCGGTCCTGGGTGCTGGTGCTGTGAGCTGGCTGAGCGCGCGTTTAAGACGGGCGGCGGCGCTGGACGGGCGCTGGTGCCGCTGCCGGTGTTGTCAGCTGGCAAAGCGCACCGGTGCTGGTGTCAGCTGGTTGTGCGCGCTGTGGAGGTGCCGTAAGCTGGCTGTGCAGGCTGCGTACATTCTTGTTCCAGCCAGTCGCATGTCAACAGGTCGTGGGATTCTCTGCCTAGCTATCTGGGTCTTTGCGGGTGTAATAGTGATTTTACTTAAGCAAGGCGAGCATGACAAAAGTTATCCAAGCAAGATCCCACCACCGAAGCAACTCACCAAAGCAAGATCCCAGCGCCAAAGCAATCCACCCAAACAACATCCCAGCGCCAAAGCAGTGCTAGCGTAGCAGAGCTCTACACAATCATACCTGCAAGCTGCACATGCACTTCCAGCATACCTATTGTAGCATACATACAACTGCAGCTGCATAAGTGTATTACCACCTCCCTAGCAGCAGGTCTAGAAGACCACGCGCGCAAGCTGCAGATGTACTTCTAGCGTGCATACCATTGCTGTTATGGTAGAAAACCACATGCAAGCTGCAAATGTAGCTTATAGCACACTTACTTATAGCATACATACCAATGATTACCAATGCCACTATGAACAAGCCAGAAAGATATAAGAAAAATATTGATGCAAATGCGTTATGCAAAAGATTTCTACAGAAGAACCCTTCACAACGCTCCCGGGAAAAATAACTTTTCGATGCAACGTAAACCGCCCAAGTTGCCACAGGAGGCGGCCACACTCGCAGAAAAATCCACCCAGCTTCTCACCCTCGAGAGGCCGAGTTGTCGGCCTCGGAAGTCGAGTCGAGTCGGAACAACGAAAAACAAAAAATATACATGCAAAAAATTGTAACACATGTTCTGTTGCTTTTTATTTGTATTGCTAATAGAAAATCATATAGATCATTTTACGTTTGAAATGTTCTCTCCAAATCTGAAACATTCAAGCCCAGATCGCACGATGGTCTCAAATGTTGTACGTCATCTGATTGAACATGATTGAACAAATGTGAGAGAATGAAGACTGTTCCATTGTAAGCGCAAGCCTTTTGGGTAAACACGTCTCCTGCGAGATTCCGTCCAGCCATTCCACCTTTAAAGGGCTGAGCTTCAGGCATAAGGGCCGCAGCGACATCCTCCAAATACGCCTCGCGAAACAAAGGTCGAGAACGGTACAAGGAGCGTAAGAAGCAAACATCAAACCTCAGCCATGGTGAATTGATGGTTGGAACATGTTGGAACAAAGGATCAAAACGCAAACCTCTGATAACCTCTAATCCAGTAAGGCCTGCAACCTGATAGCAATGGTTTCCACCTCCATGTCTTTTTGCTTTTCTAAACACCTCGATCTTCAGGGCTCTCAGAGTGGCCTCGCTCAATGGCGCGCAGAAAAGGAGCATGGCGCCCGACGCAACCAGCAAAGCTGCAGGCATCGCCATCTCGAGACGAGACGGAAACAAAATGCAAACGGGAACAACATACACCGGACCATGAACCCCCAAAAATTGAAACAGGTTTGTGGAGGCTATCCCTTCTAGGTTGGAGGCCATTGCTATTAGGTTGAAGGTCTAATAACCTCTATTCTTCCAGCGATGGTTTCCACATGTTTCCACTTTCAACACCTCAAAGCACTGAAAAGCAAGAGTTGAACACCAATGCGGCTACACTAGGAAGCCCTGCAGCAAAGGCTTGTGTGGCTTGCTGCCGATATAGTCCTGGCAAATCTACACCCTCCCTCCCACAGTCACCAACACAAGTAAAAATAACACCGGCGCCTGAAGCACTTCCACAGAAACCAAGACCCAGGGCAACCAAGGCCATCAGGATTGGCAGCGAAGGCAACCAGAATTGGTTCACAACCTGGCGGTCGCGCAAACACAAAGATCAGAACAAAGTCAATGTACGTCAATGGCACAGTTCATGTGTTCTCTGAAAATTTGATGGCAAGTTGAAAGTCCAAGCAACAAGCAAAACACAAAGTCTCACAAAACGTGCCAAAAGCACCAAAAGCAAATCTCCAAAAGCCACCGCTAGCCTGCGAGGACTCGGTTCAGTTCTAGACGCATGACGCGCTTCAGGGAAGTCGTTCTGAGCGTGGGAAACACACCAGCTCAAGGAGGTCCGGCCCTGCGCCAAGCAGCAGCCGCAGGCCGTCTGCCCTAAGCCGTCTCTCCCAAAAGTCGTCTGAAGTGCAGTGAGGAGAATCCCAGCCAATCATCCTAGCGGTCCTAGCCCCTAGATGCATTGCGGCTTGCCAACCAAAAGACCAGCGCTGGTGGACGCTGTTGATACCTCTGAGGCTGAAAAAAGAATCCGCTGTTTGTGCTAAACCATGCTAAACGACTTGTTTTTTCCCTAAATAGCTACAAGCTATAGGATTTCTTACTTCTCGCTGTGGCTCTGGATCGTATCGTTTTGCCCGAGCTGGTGCTGGTACTGGATGCTTGGGCGCTGGCGCCCTCTGCAGGGTGCAGCTGCTCTTGTCGCTGCAGGGTGCAGCTGCTGTGTGCACTTAAAACCTTTACGCAGGCTACCGCTGCTGTGTGCGCTTGGCAGCTTGGGCGCTCTGGCCCTGCAGGGTGGTATTGCCAAGCGCGCTTGGGAGCTTTGGGCGCTGCCGGATGCAAGGCTCGGTGCGCTTTGGAGGCTGGCGCCGCTCGAGGCTGCTGCTGTGACATGTCCTTGAGTGCTGGCACTGCTGGAGGGCGCTGCAGGGTGCATCTGGGAGCAAGGACGCTACTAGGGGCTCCTGGCATCGCTACTAGGAGCAAGGACTACTAAGGGCAGGCTCCTGGCCTTACTCTAGTAACAAGTAGCTATTAGGGGCCATCGCTCTTAGGTTGGCCATCACTCTTAGGAGCAGCTCGGTGTCTGGAGTTTACGAGAACTTGGTCAAAGTGACGAAGACCGACGCGATGTCCTAGAAGCGACTCGTGGCTTCTAGCTACTAGTAACAAGGTGCATATTACTACTAGTACAATGCGCGTGTCACTACTAGCGAAAACACAGTCTGGCGCCACCATTGCCACCCTCCTCTACCAACCGTTTGGTGGCCAGCTCACAACGGAAAAATAAGCTTGCAGCCCTTGCCAAAGGAAGGCCACTGCAATGACCAGGGTGAGGAGCCCTGCAGCATCACTTTTCGGCCAATTTCCACTGGCTCGGCAAATGCTCGCTCCCTCGCTCTCGCTCTCTCTCGCTCTCTCTCTCTCTCTCTGTCTCTCTCTCTCTCTCTCTATCTGTCTGATCAATTTCTGCCAAGTGAGGTCTTGTCGGTCTTTTCTTCGTTTTTCTTTCTATTTCCACCTCTCATCCCTCTCTCTCCCCTCTCTGTCTCGGGGGTCTTAGCACCTGCAAGCCCCACCAGCACTGCTGGAGGTGATCCAACCAAACGCAGAAAATCCTGCAGCGTCGCTGGCGCCAGGGTGCCAACAGCCAGAATATCGCGCAGCCCTACAGGCGCGGTCTAAAGGTCTGAAAAAAAAAGAAACGCGACAAAGAAATATCCGTGCAAAAGACCCCAAACAGTGTGTGTGAGGTCTGTAAGCAGAAAGTCTAGAGATCTAGACGCATTGGGTCCAGAGAGGTGATGGTGGTGATGAAGTGAAGGTGGGTGTGAGTGAGTGAGTGAGTGAGTGAGAGTGTGAGAGAGTGAGCATCGAGCACAAAGTACTGCGCCTGACACGAAATCTGCACTTCGAGGTTCACCATGCGCTGTGCCTGCCACGAAATCTGCACTTCACAATGCTCACAAAGTGCTGTGCCTGCCACGAAATCTGCATTTCGAGGCTCACCAAGTGCTGCACATGCCACGAAATCTGCACTTCACAATGCTCACAAAGTGCTGTGCCTGCCACGAAATCTGCATTTCGAGGCTCACCAAGTGCTGCGCATGCCACGAAATCTGCACTTCCAGGTTCACCAAGCGCTGCGCCTGCCACGGAATCTGCACTTCGAGGTTCACAAAGTGCTATACCTGTCACGAAATCTGCATTTCAAGGTTCACCAAGTGCTGCGCCTGCCACGAAATCGCACTTCGAGGTTCACAAAGTGCTGTACCTGTCACGAATTCTGCACTTCGAGGTTCACAAAGTGCTGCGCCTGCCACGAAACCTAGACATCCATATGTACCACTAAAACTGGTACATACACTCATTCGTACAAGTTCTGGCATTTTCACGCACATATGGTTTTTTTAAACGCGTTTTCACGCCAAAAATGTTGAAATGATAAGTGGGTCTCATTCCAAAAAAGAGTGCTCCACTACCAAGCTTGCAAGCTAAGAGACATGACAGGCCACGTGCATGTTTTTTGTTCCAGTGCTAGCCAGGATTATATGTTCTCAGCTCAGCCATGCAGTACTTGAGCCAAAAGAGCTACCAGTTAAAAAATAAGTTTAACCATGTTTTGTTTTCTAGGGATACCTATACACACTCAAACCAAACCCTCCAAACCACATCCAAACCCCAAAAACCACCCACCAAACTGGCCAGCCCTCACAGATTTTTCTTGGCTCAACGTGCGGGCGCATTGGCCAATCGGAGCTTGGTGTGGAAGCCAAGGATGAAGCGCCGCAACGTGTTCTCTGCAGCTGTTCTTTTGTGAACCATTCGGGATATACGCATCCACTTCTTCATGGCATCCTCATCCATCCAGGTTGAATTGAGAGTGCAGTTCAACCTGGATGGTCGCTTCTCATTGACCAGGTGGTACAGCAAGTGGAATTTGGGTTTCAGCCTGTAAAGCATTTTTCCACCCTCCAGGGCACGGACTGCAAGATTGAGATAGCTCTTGAGGAATAGATTCCCCACATGAAACTTGTGCAACTCTTCAGCTTCAGTGAGGAACATCTCCGCCTTGCTCAAAACACGCAGCCAACTGTCAGCAGCCCAAAGTGCACTGGCCAAGAAATCATCTCCACAATCCTGCATGGTCACCTCCTCAACCAGCCATTTCAACACAATGTACGTGTCGTAGCCCTTGCATTTGATCTCCGGATATTTGAGAGATTCCCACGTCAGATTTGATTTCGTTAGCTTCTTGAGTGTCAAGCTCAACTTATTTTGGCGTGCAAAATCCCGCAGTCTCCCAGTGGCAACCTCCAAGCGCGCATCAATGCTGGAACCAGGCCACAGACCTCGTCGTTGGCTAGCAAGAACACGAATAGCAGAGCCGCACAAGTCCCTGCCCACGCCTAGATGAAAGGCATGGAGCAAGTCAATCGACAACATGCGCAATGTAAAGCCATCAACATCAGCCAGCGATGGTCTCACAGACCAGGGGTCTTGCTGATATAGCACGCTCATCCAAGGTGAGTCTTCATTCAAATTTGTAAAGCTCCACTGCACATCCTGAGAGCCCTTTGTGCATAGGCACACCCAGCAGATCTGCAGGGTGAACAGGGTAGACGTTGACAAACACACAAATCAGAGGACACAACATCAAAAGAACACTAACCACCAAAACATATGTTTTTGGCCCAACTCCTCCTCATGGGTCGCATAGCGTTCCAGGTTGAAGGTTTGCTTCAGGAATTTCCAATCCCCAGTAATGTGCATGACCCAAAACTTGGGCACACATACCTCACTTCTTTCATACTCAAGGTTTCACCCATCAACATTTACTGTACCATAAAGCTCGCGCCAAAGCAAAGCTTTCTAAAAGAGCAATGAAAAGGCTGAGGTGCACATTCACCAGTCTCATGGTCAACCAAAGGAACGCCATCTCTCGACAGTGCGTTGAAGCTTTCTCGAATGGCAGCAGCAGCTGCTTGAAGGGTAAGGTTGACCCCACTCTCATCGAAGACATACCTGAGACACATATTGAGGCGTGGAATGGTCAATGGCCAAGGAACACCCCATATATATATATATATATCCCTGGGATCACGAAACAACAAATAGCACATATTACCCGTGATCACTCCGAGGCGCATGGTCGATGGAATGGTGCAAATCAAAAACCTGCTGCAGGCAGAATTGGATATGCAGGGGCTCAAGTCAGGGCGGAAGTGATAGTTCATCCATGTGCCCCCAAGAGATTGGCCTTCATCTCCTTATAGGAACCCATCAAATCTGAAAGATAAATATCTAGCTGTCCTTCATACCTAGGACAAGCAACAACGAACAGTCAAAAGTTTCCTCAAATAAGAAGTCAGGCGCCATATAGCGTCAAAGGCGCACTCGTGGCCTCATGTCCATGGACTGGGTGGCTTGGATAGTCCTTGAGGAGGTTCTGCCAGTATAGCAGCATCTTGTCAAACTGAGTCAAATACTTCAGGTGGCCCTGGTTGATCATCGCCGCTACCTGAAGATCAAGGGTTGCACGTATATCACCAGACAAATTCTTAGTAGAGAAGCTTGGGAAACAACACCAAAAGTTTGAGACAATAAAACATTTTTAAGTTTCTGTCAAAGTTCCAAATCAGCTGGAAGGAGAAATGGCCATGACAGAATCTCCACTTGGCCACTATTCTGGTCGGTGCACAGCGGCAACTCTTTGTAGGCCAGCTCCACATCCAAAGTGAGTCCTTCCCGCATAGCCGCCCGATGAACACTAAGCTCTTTTTTGCCAATCCTCACTTTCACACCCAAACCTGATGACAAAACTCCTTTTCATAACACACCTTCAAATTAGAACCCTTCAAAGAATACTTCAGAGCAAGTTCAAAAGTTTGACAAGTCTCCGGGCAAAGACTTCAGAGCCCATGATCTCGCCAACCTCGCAGGCGTGCTTAAGAGATGCTCCTCCAGATCCAACACCACGCGCAAGCCTCATGGACTCGTGGGCAGGGTTCGCTCGAGAGGTTTAAGTTACAGATGTGTATTTTTAAAGCAGGGGTTTCCTGGCTTCCCAACTGTTGATGGGGTCAACCCAACTATAGGAAAATGTTTCACTGAAGTCTCCAAAGAACACTTCATCAAGCCGCTGCCGCTTTTCGAGCCGTGGATCTTCCCATTGACCTGCGAGGGGAAGTTCAAGTGGTTTAAACTTTCAACCACAGAGGTTTGAAATTTGAGTGAGTTGGTGGCGGGTGGGAGTGGGTTTTATAGACATGAGATCTGGTGGTATGGTTTGCAACTGTGAGATCGAATAACATTTTATCAGAAAAGGGTATTCAGCTGTTGTCATTCATGGGACTCAAACACCCTGGTCTCCAAGCATAGCTAGGTCTCTTTTCCAGCTAGAGCAACCCATGGGTCAAGCTCCAACAAAAGGATGCTTCACCAGAATCCTTCATCTGCAGCCCCTCCCACAATTGCAGGCTGGGTCAAAAAAATTGGCGCATCTAAAGATGGTTCATGATGGTTCATTGCAACGTAGGCTACGGGGCCACAGCCAAAAAGATTCAACCCTGCATCCTACCATCTAGTGTATGAAGCCCTCAAACAAAAGCTCAGCCAGTCAGCCAGTCGAAGACTGGCTCGCAGTGCTCTGGCGCTTCATCTCAGAGAGAACCGCCTTGGCCTGGGCCTTCACAATCTTCATTTTCGATACCTGCAGCGCCATATATATATATATATATTTATAGCATTGTTCAGGTGGTTAACAACAAAATACATAAGAAAAGTTAGGTTTGTAAACAAAACAGGTTACATTGTCGGTCATCTCATCCTGCAACTCCTTCAATTGCTGCATGGTGCTCAGGCTCTTCAGCCTTACTTGTGGTGAAGAAACAAAAAGCAAGCCCCCTCTCAGCACCACTGACCCCAAAAGAGATCAAACATAGTTCTATAAGTAGACTGTAAAACCAAAACACTCCTCCAAAAACTCTTCATAGCGCTGCTTGAATTGCATCAGTGCCCCTCTGAGCTTGTCCTTCGCTGGGAGGTCCAAAGCCGCATTGTTGCATCCATTGATTTCCTTCTTCAATTGGCTGCCTCAGTATATTAGAGGGGCAACCAAACAATTATACAGGCCAAGAAAGAAGGTGGAAGCTAAAGGGGAAAAATAAATGATGCATAATTGTAAGCTAAAGGCTAAGGGAAGACTTCAACTCATCAGCACTGGCAGGCTCTGCAGGCTGCACTGGAGCTGCTTTGGGCTTGGGCGTACGCTTGGCCTTTGCCTTTGGTTGCGGAGCTTGCCCACCTCAAGGGATCAATGGTGGATCATTCAAATCAAAAATATGCACTATGATATACATATGCAGACACATATGTACTCAAGGAGAGTTGCCCACCGCCACCCCAGCACACCTGACAAAGCTTGCTGCGCCCGGGACACAATATCTGCAGGGTTCGATCCAGCCGCAGGCCTGGGAGCAGGCGCAGCAGCATTGAAAGCAGGCGTAAAGGAAGCATTCAAGAGCTCGCTGACATTCTCTGGCGTGGTCTCCACATTCATGCGAGTCGTGGCACTTTGGGTGACCACCTCAGATGATGTCCGGCGGCGTTTGGTGATCACCCAATACTGGAAGCACTCTTCAACCTCTGGGCAGTCCGGATCTGGGGTTGCTCCCCCACGGCTTACTATTGACCTGATTTTCTCAATCGGCCAGTTCGCTTGGAGCATGTCCCTGACTGACCATGGCTCCCTCTCTGCGCGGCTGCTCTCCGACTTCTCCTTGGCGAGAACCACGTTGGATTCACAGGCTGCCCGATTCTCACCACATTTTACCCAAGATCGCAGGAGCTTGATTTTGTCCTGCAGCAGGCCCAACTGCAAACAATAGAAGACTTTGGCAAAGACAATTAAAACAAAAAATATGCCTAATTCCAAGAAGGCACTTCTGGCGTGCCATTGAATAATGTAGCCATGTGCGGAAACTTCGCAGCTTGCGCAGATGCCATGAAGCGGTTGAGCCTAATGGCAGCGTTCCTGTGCGTGGAAGTGTTGATTCCTTTGTCTTCATCATCATCAGCAGCATCCCTGGCCTCTGCAGGCGGCTGGATCACCAGTCCATTGGACACCAAGCACCGGGTGTCCGCAGGGAGGTCCATGAAACTCATGCCCGCAGTCGTTGTTGCGCCTGTGTGGCCTGTCATAGAAGGAGAGACCATGGCAGCCGGTGGACTTGGAGCTGCTGCTGGAAGAGCTTGCGCAGTACCAGCTCCTGGTGCTGGAGATCCTGCTGGTCGAGCAGGCGCTGGAGGGGCTGCTGCTTGAGAAGGCAAGCGATCTCGAGGAGCTTGCACCGCATCAGCCGCGGGTTGAGCAGGCGCTGGCAGAGCTGCTGGCTGAGCAGGCGGTGGCAGATCTGCTGGTTGAGCAGGCACTGCAGGCGGAGCCGCTGGTTGAGCAGGCACTGCTGGTTGAGCAGGCACTGCAGGTGGCTCTGGTTGAGCAGGCGCTGGTGGTTGAGCAGGCACTGCAGGCGGAGCTGCTGGTTGAGCAGCCACTGGAGGAGATTCCACTGCCTCAACTGCTGGTTGAGCAGCCACTAGAGGAGATTGCGCTGCCTCAACTGCTGGTTGAGCAGCCGCTGGAGGAGATGGCACTGCCTCAACTGCTGGTTGAGCAGCCACTGGAGGAGATTGCACTGCCTCAGCTGCTGGTTGAGCAGGAGGGGCTGGTAGGGTCGGAGGAGCTTGCACTGCTGGTTGAGCAAGTGCTTGGGGTACCATGGCCAGCTGAGTCACTTCTGGATCTTGTCCCTGAGTGGCTGGTGAAGGAGCTGGCGCAGAATCAGCTGGGGCTGGAGGCGGAGGTCCATTGGAAAGCGCTGTGCATGGTGAACTTGCCTGCGCAGGAGCTGGCACAGGAGGAACAGGGAGAAGTGGAACTGTGCATCCTGGTTGCACTTGTGTTGGCTCCACCTCATCATCATCGAACTCACCAAGCCGAAGAGTAGGAGCATCCGACATTGAATCCAAGCCAAGCTGGTTGTCTGGGACCTCCACGCTTTCCTCGACCATGACAACCTCTGACTCCTCATCCACCAAAGTTCCAGGTGATGGTTCCTTTGGCATAGGCGCAGGCACGGTGCTCGATTCAGAGGCAAGCCTGGCCTTCTTCCGCATAGCCAAGTAGTCACGGGTACGGTCCGAGGCAGCATCCAAAGGTGCACCATCGAGATCCTTTAAAGGGTGCAATGCTTGAGCAAAACCTTCGCAACATTGAACCAAACATTCAAAACATTGGTCCACAATGGGAAATCCAACTCTAGAAAAGAGGTTGAACCAGACCAAGTCTCTGTTGTCTCTGATATATGTGGCCTCCGTGACAGGGTCGCATGAGCAGAAGGCTCCAGCGCTTGATGAGAAAGCTGCTTCTCAAGGGCCATGATTCTCGCACGAGCTTCAGTTAGTGCCGACTGCATCTCCAGAGATCCCGGCGACAGAGTTGTGACGCTGTCACCCAACCTTGAATGAAAACATAAATTGTCCAAAAAAATAGAAAAAGGCTTAGCTGAGCCTATGACTTGAAGAAAGATGAACGCTCAGTCCAATAGAAAACAAGCAACTGCAATGAGTCAACTTGCGATTCAGCATGCTCAGCAGCTGCTGGAAACTTCTGTCCCTCAACCACCTGAAGCCCTTGCTGAAAGGTACCACAGGACCTTACTGGGAGCACCATGTGATTCACAAACATATGTTATATATATATATATATTTAGACCCCTATGTTCAGGCCCCAGTATGGGTTTGAGAATTGATGTACCAGAAATATAGTAACATGTCACTAGATCTGAAGCCAAGTTGCAATTGGGACTCTTCCGCACCATCAATAAGAGCGGGTCGTAGTCGACGACGTGGGGGGCCCATGCTTTCCACAGGCTCAGCCTCCTTGGCTTCAATGGGCTCAACCTCAACCTCAATCTCCGGTTTTCGCACTCGTGTCGGCGTAGGGATCACCTTGGCCTTGGCCTTCACGGCCTTGACTTTGGCACTGGCTGGCCGCTTCAGCACCACCTCAGGCTCAATGGCCTCATCGTCTTCAAGCTCCTCTTCCTCTCCATCTTCTGGCTGCAGGACCCGGGACGAACGCCCTGCACGGAGCACAGCCTTCTTAGGCTTGCTTTTGGCCTTCTTCTTAGGCACCGTTTTTGCTTTGGCCTTCCCCTTCGCCTTCGCTTTTGTTTTTGGAGCTCCCTTTGCTTTTGCTTTGGCTTTCGATTTCGCTTTCGGTTTGGCAGTCTGAGCCGAGCCATCGATGGAATCCAGGAGGGCCTGAGATATCAGCGCTTTATATATAGCAGGGGCCCTTGGGACGGTTCGGGGGAATCAACAGCGCATGGATGGTCAACCAAAAACAAAAGATATCGTGTTATTGACATACAGGGCACCGCAGGTGGATCATCGCCCAAAACCAACTTCATGACCTTGAGCGTGTCCATAGGCTCCAATCCTATAGAT